TCATTAATTAATATTATTATATGTATATATCTATTCATAGCTGTATCATCTGTTTCTATATTGAAGGAATGTTTTGAATTTGTTAAAATATATTGTTTACATATTCATTAAAATTTAAAGTGTATGAATCATCCATATCATAATTATGAGTAAAACAGGAGTCATATAATTATAAAAGTATTTTCATGACATTAGAATAAAATTTATTAAATTGATAATGATATATATTATGTAATTTTATCCTCATAATTCCTAGATAGTTTCTACCATAGGCATATATTAATATTAATTTTTGAAACAGTAAGGTTATTTATTATTTATTAATCACTACCTAAAATTGTTTTCTAAAGATCCTCTTCAAAGTATTGGTTCTATCAAATAAGCATAACTGTTACTGAGGAACTAGTCTGTAATTATAGCAAAAATTTGATGTAAATATCTTTTAAGACCAAACCAATATCATTCACCTAACAGGTGTTTGTTAAATATCTGCAAAATGCCAGAAACTATTTTAAGTGTTAAATATTCACCAATGAACAAAATAATTTAAAATATCTGCCTTCATAGGACCTAAATTCTGAAAGGTGGGATACAATTACAAGAATATTATTATCTTTTTCATTTAAGAAAGGATTTCTTACATGCTAGGCTGGCCTTGAACAGTTTGTGCAATGAGTCAGAAAAGTTGACCTTGAAGTTCTGATTCTCCTGTCTCTATTTAGTAGTGCTGAGATTATAGATATTAGCCACCTGGTTTTCTGAAGAGCTGGAGATGAAATCTAGGGCTTCCTAAAGGCAAAAATTCCACCTATTGAGCTACATTCCCAACCTGACACCATTTTTAATGAGCATAAGGAACTGATATGCAAGCCTCTTTAGCAGTAGACTAAGCCTGGATGGGAAATCAGAAACTAAAGTAAAAGTCATATCATAGTTGAAGCAACAACAACAACAAAAAAAAATAAGCTGGTAAACAGAATCTACAATGTGTAGAAATAACAAAAAGTGCTTTCTTGTAAACTAGGGCAGGGTGGTAGCCATACTACATGCAGAAGATGTTTTGAAAAAGAAAATGTTAACCTTGTATGTCTATTCCTATTTTAATATGTCCACATATAGAACACATATGAGTACACACGTGCCTGTACTTAACAATTGCTTTTGTTGATTGGTTGACATTGAGTTCTCCATGGCTTACAGCACCACAGCTCAGGCTTAATGGAGGCTCTGGAGGCTCTTCTCCTCCCTGTGATTCCTCATTCTTGGGCTTGGGGTCGCTAGAGAGCACCACAGCACTACACTTGGGTATCATGTTACTGTATTTGTTTGGTTCTTTGATCATTTCTCCATGTGTGTGCACATGCCACAGCACAAGTGTGGAAACTAGAGAACAATTTACAGAAGTTAGTTCTCTCCTCCCTTTATGTGGGTCCCAAGGATAGAATTCAGGTCATCAATCTTGTCTGCAAGAACCTTTACCCACTTCTCACTGGGTTTTCAGGAAATTTAACAGGGTGATCATGAGCTGCTACAAATAAAGGTAACACTTGCCACAAGGCTAAAGTAGATGAAGACAAGAAATGCACACTTTCCGGAGGAAGATATTCCAAGCTGGAAAGAACTAAAATCCTGTGAGTGATGCATCCCCCAAAGAATGTTCCAGGCAGTGGGCTGACTCAGGGTTAGAAAAGCATAAGAGAGCTGCACAGCAGGAGATAAACTAATAAAAATAAAACAAATCTGGTAAATTAGAGCCATCTAGCTACTATATGAACTTTGGGTTCTGCTGTTGATTAGACAGAGGCCGTGAGTAGATGTGTTTTGAGTTGTTTGACAAAGAATCAATCTATTCACATGTTGAGACTAGATGGCAAATTTTTAGTGAACTTCACAAGAATAGCTAATAGGAGACACAGTGAAGTGTGAATGGTGTGTTCCTGTTTACCTAATATCTCAATATTACACGCACAGATATGATTTATGATCATTATAATAAGATATTGATATAAAGTATGCTGAGTTTAATATTGCTTACCAAACCTTCCTTACAAAAGCCATATGAAATTTCTCTGTATCAGTTCTAGAGTGTGTGCTCTTATAAATGAATTTATTATATTTTTAAAATAATAATGCCTTTGCTTATTTGTCTATAATTTCTGTTGATCATTTTCTTATAACAAGGATAATGCTTAAACTACCAGAGATTTGGGGCTAGAGAGAATACTCAATGGTTAAGAACACTTACTGCTCTATCAGAGGACCAGAATTGGGTTCCCAACTCTCATGTCAGAAGGCTTTCAATTGCCTATAACACCAGTTCCAGGGGCTTTAACTCCCCTTTGGCTTCTATAGCTAGTCTCACAACCAAGTTCATGTACAAGTGGGGGTGCATGTGCACTCTTTCCCTCTCTCTTTCTCTCTCTGGCACACACACATGCACACACACACACACACACACACACACACACACACACACACACAAATAAAATAAATCTTAAAAAGAACAAGAACCTGCCAAAATTCTAAGTCTTTCTGTCTGTAATTTTATCAGTCATAACCCTGCCAGAAAAGAAACAACGTTCTTATTAGTGATTGAAAGGAGTCAAACTTAGGAGTCATTTATACATGTGAACCAGGCTGATGGGATAACATCTAGGGTGCCACAGCACTCTGCCATAGTCACAGAGAGATGCTATTCCCATCCTGAGGTGTTGAAACATAAGGAGGGCAGAGCTGTAACAACAAGAAAGAGGTGACAAAGGACTGCTCTCTTAAGAGACATAAGCAGCAAATCCACAGGGACCGAGTACTCTCATTACATCTGCCAGTTTTCTGTTGGTACCTCCAATAGTGCTATTCAAATGAGCCAGAGGCTAGGAAACCCATCCCTGGAGTTCATAGTCAGCTTTCTAAGGAGGAGAGTAGAGTAGGAAAAGGAGGAGTAGGATGTTGGGAAACATTTAATACCTAGAGGTTACAATCAGCTCTCATCCCTTGCGTTTCTGAACTCTCATGGCTCCTTGTTCTGCTAGAGCACATAAATATCTGCGGGTTATGAAACAGATTTTATTCGGTTAAGTTCTGCATAATTGGTTAGATAAAGGTACAAACATCTGGGGTGTTAGAGTGAGGGCATGAAATATTTCATGAAATATTTTGATTTTTATAAGGAAAGGAACCATTTTAAGAATTATTGCTAACAAAAGATTCTTTCTCCTTGTATAAAAGAAATTGTTTTGTGAGAGCAACTCTATCACTCCACATCAACAGCTTCATGCTATTGAGCCAAAGGCACATGGATGTTGTTGTCATGATGGTTCTTATTTTAAAACACAAATTATTATTTTCCACTTAGAATTTATATTAAGCACACATGATACACTATCTAAATTCTTTAGTGATTAACAGAAACATTACAAATTTAAGTAGAGTAGGAAAACACAAGAGAAATAGAGAAATATAGGATGTGTGAATAAGTGGAAGAGACTATATAATTAAAATACAGGTTTTCCTGGATCTTCAGCATACAATATTGTGGTCACATCTGATCTCTGATCCCTAAACCAATTCAATAAATCCACCAGCTCCTTCTGTTTGTTTCTCCGTGTAACACAGTCTGCTCTTGAACTTACAATCTTACAGCCTTAGCCTACCAAATGCTGTAATTACAGGGATGTGCCTCCAGGCCCCGCTTACACCCACTTGTAATTATATATGCGTCCTACTGGTTCTGTCTCTCTGAAGATCCCTAACTATTATGATAAGGCCAGAAATGCTGAGTTTTTGAATGCACCCTAAGTCCAGTAAAATGCAAGAAACAGCTCCCAAAGTGTAAAGCTTAACTCTGGCAGCACTGTGTAGTTTTCATATATTATGTGTTTCACTAACGTTTGTCTACTAGGTTATTGTTTCCAGTCAGTCATAGGATAAGTTTACAGTTACCCATTGTAATTTTATTCTGTATTTATTTGATGATCAGTTATACACAGCACAGTTTTTAAAGTTTAATTTAATTTTTTTTTTTGCTGGTTGGATGCCAGTCTTACTTCTGTTCAAGTCTTTCACCTACTTTGTGTGTAGATGTAGTGAAGATATTTGGGTTTCTAGTATTGCTTTCTGCAATTTTTGCAATGTACTCCGCATTCAAATCTTTCATCACTCATATGAATAGTAGCTATTTTCTCCCCTTTTGTGGCTAAATTTTGAATTTGATTGCTAATCTATTTTAATTGTTGTAATCTAGTTTATTACCCCCCGCCCCAATGACTAGTGTTTCGGTGTCTAAGAATTAACATGGAGCTAAGGAGACTGTTCAGTGGGTGATGCATTTGTTGTATAAGTGTGAAGATATGAGTTCAGATCTCCAGAATTTATAGAGCAGGACATGGTAGTGTGTCCCTCTAATCCCAGCTATCTTACATCAAGGTTGGAGGTTGAGACAAGAGGACTTCTAGAAACATATGTAGTAACTAGCCTGGCATAGGACAGTGCCAAACAAAAGACCTTGTTTCAAACAAGATAGAATGTGAGGACTGAAACCTCAAGGTTGTCTTCTGACCTTGACAGGTGAGGCATGTGTGTTCAAGGCTGCAGTTCACAGTTCACTTCAATTACTTTTGCTCACTCATCTAGTGTGGTAGGTCTGGGTTTCATTTTTGTTTTCTACGCTTATTTAATTCTTCTACTATACATACGAAATGGGCTTTTCCCTTTATCTATCAAATTG